GTAGGTTCACAATCCGTAAATCATTTTCACGGATCATACGGTCCGTAAAGCCATTTCACAGTTCGTACGGACCGCACGATCCATACGGATCGACAAACTTTTATGCCCTGACTTAAACACAACATCGCCATCGACAAAGTAGGTTCACGATCCGTAAATCATTTTCACGAACCATACGGATCGACAAACTTTTATGCCCTAACTTAAACACAACATCGCTATTGACAAAGTAGGTTCACAATCCGTAAATCATTTTCACGAACCGTACAGTCCATAAAGCCATTTCACAGTTCGTGCGGACCATATGATCCGTACGGATCGACAAACTTTTATGGCCTGACTTAAACACAACATCCCCATTGACAAAGTAGGTTCACGATCCGTAAATCATCTTCACGATCCGTAAATCATCTTCACAAACTGTACGAATCATACGGTCCGTAAAGCCATTTCACAGTTCGTATGGACCATACAGATTGTGTTCAATGTTTTACCATCTTTACGATCCATATACGTTCGACAGTATTGGACAACCATCCAAACTTGGTCATCAAAATCCTGCAAAAATGACACACGACAGCAAGAATTTGATGACTTGGTTACCGCTCTTTTGATGTCTTCTTCACATGCAGTCGAATGGCGCCCATGATATATTGTCAGATGAAAAGCCTGTTTCCCATCTCTTCCCCCTCTACCTGCTTCCTGTAAATGGCTGGTCAAGTTGTGAGATGGACCATAATGTGCCCATACTTAAAGATGTTGATGCAAATACCAATCGAACATTTCCACCTAATCCCTCAAATGAAGAACTCACACTTTCCTTGCGATTCTTTGGTGTTTGAGAATAATACACTCCCAATAAACAACGTTCATGCGCCGTTTCCTCACCGTCTGTGTAAATACCAGAGGTCCCCAGTCGCATCAAGAAATGTGTTAACAATGAAACAATGTCATTAACTGTCCTACAAAAAATAATAATGAAAGGTGTTTCTCCTTTTCTCTCCAGCATAAGGTGTATCAGCCAGTCAAAGCAATGGAGTTCCTCATCAGCACGTAAGACAGTAAATCTTAGATTGTTCTTATTTGGACTGACAACTATATACTCAATTCTCTTCATACCAAGGTATTTGGCTAAACAGTTACGCATTTCCTTATTTGCAGCTGCTGTTAATGCAAGAACAGGTGTATGCTAGCAAGAAAAGATCTTAGCTCTGACAAACGCCCAAAAGCCTCCTGGAATGCTGCTTTTCCTTTTTTGCCAATTCCCCTAAATAAAAAATAATAATATATTCAGTCATTATAGCAATACATATCAATTCGCATATTGTTAAATATATATATGAAGATTACTGTGGTTGCTAAGATAGTCATGTTGTATTTTTCAGGTAGACTACCTTTAAATATAAGTCAAACGTGGTGGCCATGCTATAAATAATTTAGATATAATTATCACAAAAATGCGAGCAACATACCACGTACATTGTATGTACTTCGTCCACTACCAATACTTTAGACTGATGTAAAAAAAAAACCCAAAAAAAACGTACTGTAGGCATTTCTTCCATCGATTATTGAGCCATTGTTCAGCACCACCGTAAACGACATTATATTTGCCTTCCGATATTTCTTTGTCGTTCTTTTCAGATTTACCAATCACAGCTGCACATACTCCACACATGGTCTTTGCCACATTTGCAACCTGCTGTTGCCTAATATACTCCAGAGGACTAACTACGACAATCATAAAATGCTTCATCTCGCCCATTTCAAGCAAGTGCAAATTTTGGTAAACAGTCTGAAGAAGTTGGTACACAAGGCTTTTCCCAAAACCAGTAGATAAAACCGCAAGGACATCTTCACCACAATAGATTAGCCTTCTGATGCATTCCTGCTGTTCTGGTTTCAGAGTATGACATTTTATATCACTCACAGTCTTACTTAAAGCTTTTAAAAATATATTCATTCTACTTTCCGACGCCATGTTTTTAATACACTCAGCCTGCGCATGGGAAGAAACCGGAAATTATTAACTAATGAAAACCAATCAAAACAAGCTATTTGAATTTGAATTTATTCTGACCAATCATCATATAAAAATACCAATATTTGGTATGAAGGCGCACGGTTTAATTAAAATTTGTATCAGGCTTTTCTTTCATCCCCGAAAAGCCTGATCGCAGGTTACACAAAGTTACACAAAGATACCTACCTCCACAAACACTATAAATATTTTATGTAAATATAGTTTCCATGAACTCAAACTGCAAAATTTTGACCAGATAAATAAATATAAATAAATATAATTGAAATAGAATCAATATCAAAGTTTAGCCACTGTGGTTATCGACTAAAAGTCTCCCCGCTTTACGAGTAAAATCTAGTGTTAGACTGATTAAAACAACAAATGTAGGATGCATTGTAGCTTAATGGTAATTAACAAGAAACATTGCCAGATTTGACCAATTTAGAATTGGTTATGTGATTTGACCAGTTTAGAAGTGATTATGGATTTCACCAATTAAAAAATTGGTTCATTTGACCAATTTACAATTGGTTATGGGATTTGACCAATTTACAATTGGTTATGGATTTGACCAGTTTAAAATTGGTTATAGAGATGACCAATTTAAATTGGTTTGTATGTGACCAATTTAAAATTGGTTGGGGATATGACCAATTCTTATTGGTTATTTGGGTAATTCAACATTGACTGATCAAAAGAAATTGGTTAAATTTACCATTTTAAATTGGTTAAAAATTCAACCAATTATGTATTGGTTACAATGACCAATATTTAATTGGTCATGTCAGACTAACCAATTCTTCAATTGGTTAAAATGACCAATTCAAATTGGTTGCAACCAATTTAAATTCGTCATTTTAAACAATTGTTTTTACTGTGTATAAGTTGAATATTGAAATATGATCCATCTTGCTTGAATTGTATAACTCAAGACCAGATTATAAGAGTAGAAAGTCGCAATATAAATATTAATTGAAGAGTTCTCTTCACAATTTCTTGTTGCAAATTTACAGTAAATTTCATCACCCAAAGTCGCAATTTTAAAATGCTACAAACACGCTCCTCTCCCACCCTACCCATAGTATAATTTAAATTTACCTCCCAGAATCAGGGAGGCATGTGACAAGCTACAGCCAGGGTCTCTGCCAAAAGACAGGAGAGACCCTGGGAACGAGGTTGGCAATGGTACCGCTTTATGCAAACATGCATTCCACGCTGTTTAAACCAGGCCATCCAAGGTTGATATCCCATATATTTTGTAGTGTTAGTTGAAAATATATTTGTGTTAAATGAAATTGGTATGACTTCTATGATGAATTGTTATTAGAAACACACAGTTGGCAATCAAAACCATTGTAATGATTATACATTCATTTTATTGTTCGCCTGTTGGTGCTTAAAAGTAATAATAAATATATACCAGAATAAATAAATATATCTCTAGATTTGTATGGTTCCCATATCCATCCTATTGTAAGTTTATTTCTTGATGTTGAACACCTTTAGACGCTAATGAATGATTATGCATATTCAAATTTTTGTTTTGAATGCACGTTTCATGCAATTCCCTGTCAAATCCATCCACATACATATTTCTACATTTTATTGGTCGCTGATTCACACACATGCTGTCCTCTAGTTAAGTAATTAGTGATCGTACAAATCATACAGTATTTGGTTACTGTACATGGACTCCTTTGACAAAATGGCGACTGGTCAGACATCTGTTCAGATCAAGTTTCTAGTAATTTTGAAACGTTGAATTACACAAAGTCTAAATCCTTTAGGCATAGAGGATAGATTAATAAAGAAGGATGACGGTCAGTTACTTTGGGTTGGCGATTTCGAAGAATTAAAGCACTTTTCCAAGGACGTTTTACATCTCCCTGCAAAACGGACATCGCCAGGAGGCAATGCTAAATTATATTCCAACAAAAACATCATGCTTAAATGGTTGGGAGCGAGCAAGAAAAAGCTACTAGTTGTGAAGGAAAAAAATTTGTGTATTTCGAATATCTTGAAAGAGAAAACGTTGATGAGAACCACTGAAAAATCTGTTTGTACTGACGAATATGTGGTCGCCATGACATCAACCGAAGCGACCGGTAACTCTGAGAAACATGAAACGTGATAAATGTCACTCAACAGATACAGAAATCTTGCATATGAAGAAGGAAATAACTGAAATAAACAATTATTATCAAAGAATTGGAAAAAATCAACGTAAAGTGAATACCAAACCGAGAAAAGCTTATCTGAAATGAAAGACACCATGAAATAAAATGTCAACATTCAATTACAAAATGGCGGACGAAATTGAAACACTTAAAACAGTGATCAAACAAATTACCAGCGAGAATAATGAAGTGAAAATATTCTAAAAATGAAACAAACTGAATGGATTGAGGTAGAAAAAAATAAAGCATCTAGTAGGATCAAGTCAACATCTGTAACATCGACACCAAAAAGTTATGCTGCAGTGCTCTCAAATAGCTTTGAAACCCTTGTAGACAAACGTGTTACAAATGAATCGTCCAATGATGATTTAACTGAAATGTCTGTGGAAAGTGGCAACTTAAAATAGTCGGGTTGCTTATGTCAAAATCAAGCCTTCCGCTCGATTTTCATGCCAAAATTAATATTCTTATGTTGTTATATCGCCATGTCTATGAAGAGTACAAAAAATAACGGTGCCATTTTTTTATATAAAAATAACCATTTTATCTGGGTTTTATAGTAGCAACTGTGTAAACAGTCATCAGCACATGATTATACTACCGGAAATAGCTTTCACTGCCAATACGTCATGTAGTCACTAACAAAATATATGGAAAAAACAAGATGGCGCCTACGAATTGTGGTTTATTTTCTTTACGGGATGTGCTATTCAGTATAAAACATGCCTGTTGTTGACATCTACATTCTGGAGGGGTTTTAAAATGAAGTCAGAGTAATAATAACCGAACAGGTTACTGTAATGGTAAGGACCGTTTATTCAATACTGGTGAAGGACAAATACAAAATGTAGCTTGGTACTAACACTAGCTTAGTAGTGAATAATTTGTTATTTATGTCAATATATGAGCTGTACATGTTTGATTATTTATCAACATTTTTATAATTTAAATTTTTGACTAGGGTACTTAATTTTGCGTGTGTATATTTAGCGAGGTTTTTATTTGCGATGATTTGATTTTGCATTTTTTTACAAGTGCTAAAAACGCAAAGTAAAAGGCAGGCGAAATAGTACCACTAATGTACCTTACATTTTGTATATTTTTTTATTAATCATTGAATAAAAGCTGCGTATATGTTAAGTTTTGCGAAGATACTATAGAGAGCTACTTTTAATAACTTTAGGTCAAAGCAGGAACTGATCCCAGTTTGAAAATGAATATATCAAAGACCCCTTGTATAATTTGTCTGCAGCCTGGAGGTAGTTCGATGGTTTTAAAGTCTGAGAGACGATGTTTTGAAATGATTAGAAATTTTGCAACAAAGCGTGCTGCATTTGGAGAATCAAAATTTGCAAACCTTTCACAAAGAATAAAGGAGCTCCCTGACCAAGAACAATTTGTAAGTAGTTACCATTCTTCTTGCTACAAGGATGTTGTTCACTCAGGTAAGATGAAAAGAGCCGAAAAGTGATTTCAAGAACGTTCAGTTGATCCGTTGCACCACCGAAAAGAGGCCGTCCTTCTTCAAGTATATTATCCACAACAGAATCTAGTAGCAGTTGTTCCAGAAGATCGGCAGAAAAAACAAACCTCAAACATTGTGTTTTTCAGTGTGGGGAGGCAGACAAGGGGGAACTTCATCGAGTCGAAAGTTTGAGCATGGGAGAACGATTTATGTTTCTAAAAGAGAACAGCCCAGATGAAAATTGCAGAATTGCTTTAGCGAGTATCAATGACCCTAGACTGTGTTGCAGCTGATCTTTTTTACCACAGAAATTGTTTACGGAACCAAGAGAGAAAGTCAAAAAAGAATGAAGATGAAAGTGTGCATAGAATAGGTCAGTACATTGCTGATATCGAAATAATAAATGAACTCAATAGTTTGTTTGAGAATGGCGTAGTCAGCAATATGAAGCTTTTAAGCGAGTATGATGCAAACACTGGATCGACTGACAGAAAAAAGTATCTGAAAAGCCTTATTACGAAGAACATTCCTGATGCAGAATTTGTAAAGGCTTACAGGAAAAATGTGAGTGAGCGGATCTTAAGCAAAAGATCGCTTGGCGATGCTGTTAATGAATTTGAAGAATATGTAGATGATGAAGAGGATATAAAGTGCCTTTCAAAAGCTACTGCTGTAATCAGACGTAAATTATCCAAAGCGGCTAAGTGGAGGTTTGAGGGATCAATGAATGACTTTGAAGCGCTGAAAGAATTATTTTCCTTTATCAAATGGGTTCTAATTGGAACTAAATCACAAGCTATCGGAAATGTTTGTGAGGTTACCAACACAGAGGTTACCAACACAGAGGCAACAAACGTTATTGCACAACAGGTTATGAATAACTACAAAACAGACAGACAAGTAACCTACAACCCGCTCGTGAAAGATACAAAATATAGAAAATGCAGCAAAACGCCCCTTTCTGTTGGCCTTTCCCTCATGGTCCACAAACAGACAGGAAGCAAGAAACTGGTGGACACTCTGTCGAAGTTAAACTTATGTATTGGTTATGAATCTACTATAAGTCCCGAAAAACGTATTGCAACTGGTGTGGCTGAGCGCATGGAACAGAATGGTGGTTTCTTTCTTCCGCACTTTATCAATAAGGAAAAGCAGCCATTCTTTGCAATAGACAATATAGACTTTCTAGAGTGCACGCCTGATGGCCAGAATACTCTACATGGGACTATAATAGTTGTAAATCAAGGTAAAATTGAAGATGGCACTGCAGTAAACGATCCCCTTGTCATTCCAAGCAAATCGAAGACAATAGATATTTGTATTGCCAATGAAGTTGCTCCTCAAATTCTACCACCAAAGGACGGACCGAGGTTCCACAACTACAGCTTCGATTTAGATCAAACGTTATTACAAAAATACAAGATATTGGACGCAGTATGGTTTTTTGCATGTTATACGCACTGGAAGATGGCAACAAAGTCTATATTTAGCACTGATGATAATGCTCATGAAGAAAATATGGAAGAAGAATGTCAAAGTGCTCCATTACAACCACACAAGCGAGGTAGAGGAATGCCGACTTGGGCAGCTACAAACTCCCTTTTGCTTTCTGCTAAGGAGAGGTCTTTACCTTGCACTCCTTCCTGTGTGATTAGGCAAAAAAAAAATATGTGGGTTTCCGGTTTCCCGACCCTACCTAGCTTTTGGACGTTGAAATCCCAACCCTAAACTTTTTTATTGGATCGTGCTTGTAAGTGTTTCCACTTAGAGGAAAAAGTTTGTGGAAAATTGAAATTTGAGGCAATATTAGGGAAATTTATCTTTGGATGTGGAAGCACTGACAAACAAAATGGCGTCCGCTTGTTCGGAAAATTAAAAAAAAAGTTTAAAAAAAAAGTTATAACCGACCTACCCTACCTACGTTTTTATAAGAAGAAACCCACATATTTTTTTTTGGCCTTACCTATACTTATATTGCATTGACATTTATATTACAGTGAACTATAATTGCAGATGTTTTATGATTATTGTACATTATTTTTGGTGCCCCCCCCTAACTTTCTTTGATATTTTTGGTAGCCCTCCCTAACTGGTTGATAAATTTTTGGTGGCCCCCCAAATATCTTCCGCCCCCCCCCTGGCATTAATAATGACTGCTCCCTAAATAATAAACTATCAGATCCTTCGTTAGGTCCAAAAAAGTGGTGGAGTTACATTAAATTCACTCTTAATAATAAAAGTAATCACACCACCTATTAAAGAGGACGCTGAGATTGTTTTTGACTCGAAAGAAAAAGCGGACTTATTCAATGACTACTTTGTTAATCAATCTAGAATTAACAATAGTAATTGTCAGTTGCCATTATTAACTTATTTCCAGTCTGATAAAACATTATCAATAATTCGTACAACAGAACAAGAAGTTCTGATGTTACTGGAGAAGGTTGATATTTCAAAAGCTGGTGGTCCTGATGGTATTGGAAACAAGATCCTTAAACGAACTAGTAATGGCATTAAAAAATCATTTACAAATTTACTTAATTTAAGCTTTCAAAAAGGAGAATATCCCACTGAATGGAAAAGGGCCAACGTAAGTCCTATATACCAACAGCAACAGCAACACCGCCGCCGCCGCCACCACCACCACCACCATCACCACCATATTGTTATAGGAAAACGAACAAGAAACAAAACACCAACAAATAGCAAACAAGTAGAAAAAAATATATAGAAAAAAAGAGCCAAAATATCTTCAAAATTTTAAATTTTTGGATTAATAAGAAGCAATTATATGTTCTTTAAGTTTTCTTTTAAAGGTTTTTAGATGCAGAGACTTCAAAGATTCATCGACAGAGCTCCAAACTTTAGGTCCACAAAATCTAATATTAAATATTCCACGAACTGGTGGGATAGCATATGCATTTGTAAATGCTAAACAGGTTGTATAGTCATGGTTATTTTTCATCAAGGTAAAAAAGCCACAAAAATCAGCCGGGAGATTGCCCGAACCATACTAAAACATGAATGATGCTGTCTTGACATAAACTAGATCGAGAAATTTTAGCAAGTTTAATGCCTTAAATATTGGTGAAGTGTGCTCACGGAAACAGGAAAATGTCGTTATCCTCATAGCCTTCTTTTGCAGGATCAATAATGGGTGCAAATTACTTTTGTATGTATGTCCCCATACCAGGACAGCATACATAAATGGATAGATTACTGAGTAATAAACTTGAATGAATGTATCAATTGAAACAAAATCACGAAGTTTAAATAATATGCCAATACCTTTGGATATTTTTTTGCATAACTCAAAGACATGATCCTTCCAGTTCAAATTACAATCTATAATTATGCCAAGATATTCGACACTTTTCTTCTCCTTCATTTTGTTGTTATGAATTTTGAAATTCATTGAGTAATTAACTTTCTTTTGTGGTGAATGGAAAAGGACAAAGTTTGATTTTTCGATATTTATTGAGAGTTTATTAGCACATAACCACTTGCCAACCAAAATTAACTGCTCATTTAGTATTCGTTCTAAATTTTGAAGATTATTATCAGAGTAAAATAAGTTTGAATCATCTGCGAATAAATGAAACTTAAGTTTTGGAGCAGAGTTGTTAAAATCATTAATATATAAGAATCATTTGATACAACTGACTTAGAACCTTTCTTATAGATTGGTATCAGCCTAGCTTATTTAAATTGATCAGGCACAACACCTGTTAGAAATGAGCAATTAAAGAGATAAGCAAGTGGGCCAGATAAGAGAAATCTCAAAATCTTTAACAATTTAGTAGGGATGCTAAATGGCCCAACAGACTTAGATAGATTAAGATTACTAATTTCCTCTTCAACTTCCAAAGTGCTTACAGGAGAAAGGACAAAACTATGACATAATGATTTGTTGAGAAATTTCTCAAATGAAATATCTATAATGGGTATAGTATTAGCTATATTTGAACCAATATTAAAAAAATAGTTAATTTAAAGAAAAATAGTTAATTAGTTAAAAATAGTTAAAAATTTTCTACGTCCAATAATGCTTCAGTCATTTGAAATCACGCCCCCCACCCCCGGGACATAGCGGGGAATTAACAAAATTTAGCGGGGGCTTAACGCTATTTAACAACTTGCTATGCCCCGGAGGGCGGTGGAATTAACAACTTTTTTATAACTGGAGAATTGACCCGGGATTTAACAGCCGCTATATATATAAATACACCTGGGATAACTGGGGACTTAAAATGAACACATAGGGTCATAAAAACGAAAATGGCGACTGGCGAAAAACTTCCTCGACAGGTACGTGCGTTTAAAACTTTATATTTGCTGCGGAGTGAGCGAGCCTGAAGCAAGCGAGCATAGCAGCAGTCTAATATGCGCAGAGAGGGGGTTTTGAACTAAATTTTATTTAGCACATGGAATTGTGGTTGTGCACGTTTTCTATGCGCAGAACACAAATTTTAAACTCGGTCGAGTCTTCGAATTTTTATCAAATTTCTAAAGCTTTTGCAAATCTAATGTTATGCTTACATTTGTTTTGGACTTTGGCCACTGTCAGTTCTATATTTTTATAAAGTTTTGGTGTCTTAGTGTGATAAATCTGTGTATATAGGTTATATAAATTAATGTGGTAAATGCGCCTAGCAGTAAACAGACTTGATATGAAATCTGGTCTTAACTTACCTGTATGTCAATGAGACGCACATGTTTAATATCTGTCACCTCTGATTGCCCTTTAACCCCTGGTCTTTGTGGGGGGAGCTGGATGCAGTCTGCGAGCAGACTATGGTCTTTGCTACTTCAATATATATTGCTTCTTCTCAGTTCCATTCAGAGCTCACTAGTCGCTGAGAGTAATCAATGTGCTTGATATAATTTGTGCTGTTTACTGTAGTTCTATTTGCTTTAATGCCCGCAGCAATCCCTACCTTGCAGGTACCCTAGTTTATACTTTATAATCCTCAGCCATCCGCTGCTGTTAATATTCAATAAGTATCAGGCATCGCCTTTGCCATTGTTTGGATATTTTTTTATTATTGTTTACATTTTATATTTGCATATTTATTTACATTTTCAATCTGGAAGTTGCGGAAGACAGGTAATTCAAAATTATGCATGCATGATGCGGAATTTGTCTTGTTTAGGTAGGCTAAAGCGCGGCCGTACGGGGGTTGTAACAGACCAGTTTGCCCCAGGGGCGGGGGATTTAATGTTTTTTAACACTTGGTTGTGTTAAATTCCCCGCTATGTCCCGGGGGTGGGGGGGGGAGGCCTGATTTCAAATGACTACCGCATAAATTTGGAACTAAATAAGGCTGATGTTTTAGTGTTATGAGCTGTTTAATACCTAGCCCGCGTGCAGGCCCAAGGGAACTGATAGTGGGCCTGCAAGCAAGGCCCGGTATTTTGTACTTTCCGCGTTCGCCCACGAACGCGGCATTCTGATTGGCTGTTTGCTGTTGGATTCTATAATTAGGTCAGTGATTCATCACAAAGGCTCTCGATAAGCTCAAAATTCGAAAATTGATCACTTTTTTCGATTATAAATGGAACAAGAACAGACTGTTTATTGTTTACTTGAAGGAAGAGATGTTTTTGCCGTTATGCCAATGGGGATTGCTTGTCGTGAGGTGTTGGAATAGCAACATTACGACTGGGGTAAACTATAGTAATCTTTACTTGAGTTTCATTAATTTCAAACAGACTTGATACGTTATATGTTCCTCAAGAAAATTATCTTTTGGTTGATGTTGAGATGCAGTTGCATGTAAGCCTATTCGAAACACTTTGCGATTTACAAGGCTTCGCTGAGAGAGCGAAACAGAAGACGGTATTAAATTGCCGTTTGAAACGAAACGATCTGGACTCTGAACGCTCTCTTCTTTTGTAGAGTTCTTTACCAAATGAAATAACTGAAATAAATTTTGTACTTTCCGCCGCCAACAAGAATTGCACACACGATCTGATAAGTGAGACAATTTATTTATATTAACAATGCCAATGGCGACAGCGAAGCACACATAATATAAATGCTAATGTGGTCGCACGACTTCCCTCACGATTTGAAGTTTGAGACTGGTTTTCTGTTGAAATTCATCCTAATTCTAGTTGCCTGTTCCGATTTTAGTTGAAAATGAGCACTTGCAAATTTGGCAATTACTGACTGCGTTGCTTGCTTTTTTGGAGGTAAAACGCTGCCATTTACACATTGTTTATGTTCTGAATATAAGCAGAGAAAACCCCGCAACATTTTAATGCGAGTTTGTTTGTTTATATTTGGGTGCTGTCATTGGTTCTTTTTTGACAATTGACACGTGAATGGGGCGTGTTATGAAAAGGGGCGTTTTCCAAAATACCGGACCTTGCTTGCAGGCCTACTATCAGTTCCCTTGGGCCTGCACGCGGGCTATTTAATACCTTTCCATGTGTTTTTATATTATATTTATTATTTGCAAAATATTTATTATAATAGGATTTTTTGCTAACCAGTATAAGATGTTTTAATTTATTTCTATAAGTTATGAACTTAGAAAGATAATAATCATTTTTAGATTTAATGTACAATTCATAAAGTTTATTCCTTTTAGCAATAGAAACTCTAATACCATTTGTAATCCAAGGTTTGGCTAATATCCAAATTTCTTTCTTTGATAATTTATGCAGAGGTGCATGCCTATTAATAATATCAGATAATTTATTATGAAATGATTCGAATGTAAGATTCACATCTTCAGTTTCAGGCAGAACATCCTCCCAATTAACCTGCTGCACTTCCTCCAAAAGCATTTCTTCATTAAAATTAGAATATAATTGTTTTTGTTTGTGGAAACACCACGTAAATTTATTACTGCAAAGCTTTCGATCCGTAAGCCTGGATCTTCATCAGTGCTAATAATATGTGACTTGTTTAATTCACACGCTCTTTTTATATACAAGGATGTCGTGATCTGTTGGCTCGCGTCATTTGAAATTTAATTAAACAGCACATCAACCATGTCATTTCAAACATAGTGAAGCGATTCCAATTAACGTGTGCGCATCCAAGACAAGAGACATTAATTTTGCACATTAAAGAGAGCACGCCACGTACTATCTAGTGGCTTTCCCTCCTGATGTATAGTATTGTGCTTCTCGATTTCAATGACTCTCTCATTTTGTGAGAGAACTTATGACTATCAATCGCCAAAATGGTTGCTTCGTCCAAATTTCAAATGACGCGAGCCAACAGATCACAACACTCTTGTATATAAAAAGAGCGTGTGAATTAAACAAGTCACATATTATTAGCACTGATGAAGATCCGGGCTTACAGATCGAAAGCTTTGCAGTAATAAATTTACGTGGTGTTTCCACAAACAAAAACAATTATATTTTATCGCCATGCAAACATTCAAAGAACTCAAAATTAGAATGATCTCTTCGATAAATCGTGGGATTAGAGGAAGTACAGGCAAACTAACTTATTAAGTATTAGAAAATTAGGAAAATGGTCAGTTATATCACAAATCAAATTTCCACTTAATGTCTCATGTTCAATAGAGTTAAAACAAATATTATCAATTAAGGTTGCTGAATGATCAGTTATTCGAGTTGGTCGAGTTATATAAGGCTGGAAACAGTATGGTCCCAGATTACCAAGAAATTCATGAGTTAAAGGATGTGATTAATAATTTAGTAAATTGATATTAAAATCATGCAATATTATGCAATCAATATTATGCAATATTTTTTTCATTTGAGATTTTTTCCATTTATTTTGTGTAATAATTGAAATTTTCAAGTTTACTATTAGGATGTCTGTAAATCACTGAACAGACTAGATTGCTTTGGTTTGCATTATGAAGCTATCGATAAACATTCAAAATCTGTGGTTGTAATGCAGAAATCATCACGAAAATGAAATCCACAGTCTTTTCTAATACAGAAACCAACTCCACCTGCGTTTGAATAACTAGGCTGGGACATAAAATTATACCCAGCAATGCTTACATTGGCAGTAGGTTCCTTATTCAAAGTAAACTTAATTTCACTGAGACCAATAATATTAAAATTATGTTTAAGATCAGATAGTAGAGATGAAAAAGCATCACGATTAGCTGATAAACTTCTTACATTAAAGTGCAAAACAGAAAAGGACTTGGACTTAGAGGTTAGTTTATGTATGCCCTCACTATTTTTAAATTCATCGATTGAGTAATAGTCACAATTAACTTGACCACATGAATTATTATCTATATCCCACCCAGATAAATTAGTTATATTATTCAGACTAGAAGTTGGTTCAAGTCTAGGTAAATTTTCTAGTTCACCCAACATGAGAAAAGTTCAGATACTTATCTTGGTAAACAAATTAAATCTTGGTTGCAAGATATAACATTTGCAGGTTCATCTCCATTTTTTCTTAGATAAATGCGACCATTTTTGGACCATATGTACTTGTAATTATGCTCTTTCTTAAACTTTAAGCATTCATGAAATAGTGCTCTGTTTCTTGGGGTGAGGCTTTCAGATATATAAGTGTGATTAACTGATGTTCTTGAAAGACCAACATCTCGACTAGATTTATCCTTTAAATGCCTTCTACTGCCACAAAAATAGGTCCTTTGTGTCTCTTCTTACAAATTTGACCATAATTTTTGGATGTTGATCAACAGTATTTGATACAGCCCCAGCTCTTGGCCTTAATCTTGAGGAATAACTTTGAGACTGATGTATCAGTGGCAGACGATGGCTTACAGAGATATCACTCTCATTGATTTTCAAAACCATAAGAGAGCCAACTTTGATTGTTAGTGCATTTGTATCTTCGTCTGATTCTTCGGGTAGGCCGCTTATTTCTACACAATCGCGTCGGCTGTATTGTTCAATATTGCTTATGACTTCGCTATGTTGTTTAACAACATTGGAACGTCGTAATATTTCTGCTTTTAGAAATTTATTTGCCATTAGAGCCTCCTCACACTTTCCTTCCATCTGTGAGACTCTCATGGTCAGAGAATCAAATTTCTCACTTGCAAAATTCACACTCTGCTTTGCTCCCCAATATAATTTTTTTTATTAAAAGCCAATGTTGCTGCTGAGCAACATATATAGCTTGTTCCCAGCCCTCCAAAGAGTAGCTCGGCCGGGTATCACATGATCTGGACATTTCAAAGATGGCTGCTTCAACAAGCAAGCACGGGAGCACATGGGAGGTAAGAAATTTTCGTCTAAATCTCTACATTATAATAACCCTGCTGGTATTTTCAAGCAGAAAAATGAAAATGATAGTTTGAAGATATTATTGATTCACTCAAAGTTAGAAAATACAAAAATATGCTTTCAAAATAAACCACAAAATACATGTGTTGCTCACAAGCAACATTGGTTTCTAAGTGCAACATGGACACGACACGTGTGATAATTGTTACTTATGCTATCGATTCATTACTAGAAATATTTACTTATATTTTCTGTAAGGCAATGCCAAATAAACGTTTTTGTGACAATATTTTGTTTATATTTGGACATTTGGTTTTGTTGTGAAATTTTATAGCAAGACATATATTTTATCTTGGCAGGCAAAAAAGTTGATTCAACTTACAGACATTTTGGATGTGGTGACAGCTTCGGACAGTGAGTGTGAAGTGTTATCTTCTGGAGAGAAGTTAGATGATGATGACGAGCTGTGATAATGATGGTGACGATAATAGTGGCGATGATGTACCTCTGGCCAATCTTATGAAAACAAAACAGAAATGGAAAGCAAAGAAAGCAAAGAAACCAAAAGGGAAAAAGAAATCAAAAGCGAAAAAGAAATAAAACCGAATAAGTATAATTTTGAAGCAAAACAGCCATTTGTTCCACCACAACTACTCCCCTTTGTACCGGAACCAGAAACACCAACACCAGATGACCGGATCCCTATAGAATATGTGGACATGTTTTTAACAGATGACACGATTGAGAACCTGGTGCTCGAGTCCAACAAGTATGCTACTGAAAAGACAGGGTCGTGTCCCAACTTCACCAAAGCAGAGCTTCAGAATTACTTTGGCATATATTATTTGATGGGTATTGTTCGACTTCCCAAGATCGATGACTACTGGAGGTCTGATTTGCGGTATGGGTAAATTGCTGAAAAGATGTCTTGCAATCGATTCCGCCTTATTCATCGCACTCTTCACTTTGTTGACAACAATACTATTTCGGCGGAAGAAAAGCTAGATTGTGTGTGGAAATTGCGACCGTGGATTGAAAAACCCCAAGCTAACTTTTCAACTATTAGCTGTGATGAATATCAATCAGATAATGGTTCCTTTCAAAGGACGTTCTCTTTTACGCATGTACCTGCCGAAGAAACCCAAAAAGTGGGGAATCAAGTTGTGGGGCCGTGCTTCACCTGGTGACATTCTTCACACCTTTGACGTATACCAGGGTAAAGGCACTGGATTGGGAGGGATTGGGAGGAGACGAGACTGACAGGTGTGGTTTAGGTGGTAATGTTGTCATTCAGTTGACTGAGACATTGCCAAAAAAACCATACAAGATTTTTGCTGACAATTTTTTCACCAACTTTGCAATGGCTGCTGAACTGAAAAAACGTGGTTTCCAGTTTACTGGTACCATCGCAGCAAATCGTTTGCATGACGCACCACTAATGTCTGAGAAGGAGCTGAGCAAAGATGGAGGCAGAGGGGCATGTGTACGAGACGAAGGATGATCTGTGTCTGGTGAAGTGGTTGGACAACAAGGCTGTGACCTTGCTGTCAACTTATGTTGGCCCAACGCCCACATCCAAAGTGAAGCGGTATGATCATTCCCTCAAGAAACATGTAGATGTTGACTGTCCTGCTGTGGTTGGTGCCTACAATGCCAACATGGGTGGCATCGACTTGTTGACATGATGTGCACCTTGTACAAGCGTCAGATCAAGTCAAGAAGATGGTACTTATACATTTTTTACCATTCTCTAACAATGGCGATGGCAAATTCCTGGTTCCTGGTTCCTGTACCTCAGGGAATCGAAGTCCCTCAAAAATGACAAACCACTTCAGATGAAGGAATTTCAGATTCGGGCCGCTACCTCCCTGATGTGCCAAGGGAAGGTACCTCGTGGTCGTCCATCGCTGCAGACACCACCACCAGCCAAGAAACATCGGGTACAGCCTGGCCCACAGCTCGACATCCGTTATGACAATGTTGGCCACTTGCCAATGAGTCAAGAGAAGAAGGGACGGTGTAGATTCTGTCCGACTGGATATAGCTTTTGGACATACTCCAAGTGTAAAGTTTACTTGTGCTTGGTTTGTGGCAAAAACCAAAAGAACTGCTTTGCTGCCTATCACATGAAATAGACTTATGTGAACATTTTCTTGAACTTGACATGGTGTATCCTTTTTGACGGACAAAGTATTTTGCATGTTTTTCTATTTTTTATGTTCAACTTATCAAAAATTAGCGTTTATTTATTCATTAATTTAACTCATTAACTGGCAATGCGCCCGGATGCACCCTGAGATTGGCAAGTGGGTAACTGGCAATGCGCCCGCATACGCCCTCAAATGACACCTCAACTTGCGGGCATGATATTTGAGCACGTGTTTATCGGGTTGCCTAGCAACGGATACCAAAATAGAACGCGAAATTCGAGCTTTTCAACGATGTATCATGCAAGAAAATCGGCCAAAAACTCGTTTTTCAAGTTTAAAACCTTAGTTTTTCAAAAATAATGAATAATGGCGACATTGTTGCAAAGACGGATTTCACAGCAAGTTTTAAAAAGAGAAAAAAGAAGAGGTTTTTGAATAATCTACAACGAAAATTTGGCATGAAAGGAAGCGAATGCATTGACGTTTTGGGGCCAAGTTCTTCTGTGAACCATGCGCGAGATTTTCAGCAAAAAAGATGAGGATTTCTCCAAACTTTATTAAAAATAGAAGTCAGAAATCACAAGAAAGATGAACACGGAACTCAAGTGAGCAGATACGATTTTTTAAAGGGTATTTTTGAGTAGAAATATGCGATCAAACACTCACAAAATTCGACCGCATTAATGTTGGTTGAATCTAGTTTAAAGTTATCTTTTTAGATGAACTGTTTATGCAAATTTGGGCGCAATTTTGACTGTTTTCGTGACCCCATTGTTGGTCTTCTTGTTCAAGTTGTTATTTTAGCTAAAGTATATTTCAAACGACACTTACTGTGTGCGTACGTGACCTTTTCGACCTTTTTGGCAAGAATACTTCGAGTATTAAATTACACTAAATAAGTAGGATATTCCAAAATCACTGTTATATCTATTTTCATCAATTTAGTGTTAAAATGACAACTCGTTTCAGACGTATTGTGGTGTAAAGTAAGTGTATTGAATAAACGCGCTTGCTTGCCATGTGCGAATATTCAAAAAATCCGCACTTGAGTTGTAAAGCTTTCAAAATGCATTTTTACTGTTTTTTATATCCCCTATAAAACTTTAAATCGATAAAGCAGATAATAATGTTTGATGCAACATCATTTTCTAGTAACTACACATTGAATCAGAAAGAAAAGTTATCAAAATAGGTCGCGACGGTTGTTTGCAAAATGTCGCTTCTCTCTGAAATGGCTTCCTTTGCGGGAAGCCATGAAATTGAAGTCCTAACAAAAACCAACCTTAGCAGTTTATTTGGGCCCATTGCTCACTTATTTATTGTGAAATCGCTTCACTAGAACATTTTTAATAATCTCTATGGGAAACTTTGTAATTTTCTGAACTAAAAGTTTATGGTTTTGAGGTGTTTATTTTATAAAATAGCATGCGCGACAAAATGGCACTAATGTGGTTTCTCACGTCTGACAAACAGCCAAAGATGAAAGTTCTTATTTCACCCTTTTATAGCTATGTGGAATACCTGAATATTAGGTTATCTTTTTCATGTGAGCATATAGATAACATTTCTACACAATAGTCCTTATGAAGGCTTATTTCAAACTCAAATAAAGAGATTGTTTTTCAGAGCCAGACTTCAAAAGAAACCACCTGGCTGACATTTTATAGCAGCCTACATTGCCGCACAAAATAATTTTGGCTTTTAAACCGTTGCTTTCCCAATAGAAGCATGAAAATATTGAGCTAAAAGTCTTACCTGACATGTGTTTAAAGTGTTTTTCTCTTTATGATGCTTTTCAGTGCTTTGAGTACAGAAGTGAATAGCTTTTAGTTTTGTCACCACAGAGTGCCTTTCAAAATGTCGGCTGTCATTGTCTATGTTAAAAACACCTCAGAAAATTCCCATTTTCTCACCTTCCCATTCTTGGTTTATATTAAAATAAATAAATTTAAGCACTATGTGTCCTTTTAAATATATCTGAAGCAATCAAAAAACTTTAAAGATGTACAAACACTGTGTTTTGGCTTGCACACTTTGTTGAACTTGAACACTTAGTTACTGTTCTAAATTTCATGTTGTAAACAAGATGCCCAAAAAAAGCAAAGAAGTAATTTTTAAATTTTTTGATAATTTCGTAATTCATATCCCAAAAGATGAAAATTGGTTGTAATATAGATATGTATTAATTTAGTAAATGAATTTTTTTTTTGGTTTTTATATAAATTTATGGAGATATTGCCCCTTTAGGTGATGAGTGACATGAAAAACAAAGTGTCACTGGTTGATAAATAAAAATACTGACTGAAAAAACTAATGATATATATATAGGTATAATACGCAAGGTCATCTAAACTAAATTTGGTCAATCATATATCATTCATGTTTGATTGAAAAGATCAGACTTTTTTATGCAATTGTTTCTGAGATATTGCCATTTTGGTGAAAGCTTGGAATTCAATCATGAATTCGCCATATTGCTTGCCACTTTAGGGGGTGGTAATATTGTAACAGCTTGCCAGTTAATGAGTTAAATCAAAATATTACTATGTTTGTTACGGACATACCGCACAAGATATTATAGTCTTCAAAATTTTAATGTTCAATGTAAAAAGCACGCTTACAAACGGCGGTTTATAAAATTATTGACCATGCTCTCAACCATAATATCTCCGTCTCTGTTGAGTGATCACACTTTACTTTATATGAGCTATATTTACATAAATTTGAAAGTTTACATTAAAACTATCACGACAATTAACCTAATCCCTAATGCGTATTGTTTACTATGCATGCATGAACTATATAAATCCATAAGGTCATTATTGTCCTTATCATCCTCGCCCCGAATTAACGGTTACAAACCGTTAATTGCTATTAACTTGTGCCAAATTAACGTTTTCCAACACACAAAGTTTCGTAATTGGTCTAGTATAATCAGTTCCATCTAACGACTGCTGATCGCACTTAACCATCTTTTCCGAGATGAACTTCCACTACTCGAGCCAACGGCCATTGTCTTCTGGGAGCATTTTCATTTACAATGAGTACCACGTCGTTCTCTTTAACATTTGCCTGTGGAAAATACCATTTTTGTCTCATCTGCAGGGTAGGCAAATACTCCTTTAACCATCGGCGCCAAAAGATGTTGGCCAGGTACTGGACTTGTCGCCATCTTTGTTTTACATACTGATCATTTTTGGTAAATACCCCAGGTGGATATGTTGAATTAGAATGGAGCATCAATAGATGATTTGGTGTCAATGCTTCAGCATCAAACGGACTATCTGAATTTGGTGTTATGGGTCTGCTGTTTACGATTGCTTCAACTTCAGCCATGGTTGTTGCCAGAGTTTCATCATTCACTAGTTGCTCATCAAGTAATGCCTTAAGAATCTTCTTTACCGAACGTATTAGCCTTTCCCACGCTCCACCCATATGACTAGCGGCAGCGGGATTGAATTTCCATTTTATTTCCTTTAAGTGAAATTCGTTCAACTGGGAATTGTTCCATATCTCCAAAGATTCTTTAAGCTCTTGTTCGGCTCCTATAAAATTTGTACCTCTGTCGCTTCTGATTTCCTCTGGCCTTCCACGGCGAGCTATAAATTGACGTAAGGCATCAATGAAAGAACTGACATCCAAACTATGAGCAATCTCAATGTGTATAGCTCGAACGACCAAGCAAGTAAACAAACACCCATAACGCTTTACTCGTGAACGACCTTGCTTCACGAACAGTGGACCAAAGAAATCAACCCCGACATAAGTGAAAGGTGGCTTATCAGGTTGGACACGATCAATAGGTAGGTCGGCCATAATTTGTGAACAAGGAACGACGGCATTTCTCCTTTCGCATTGTAGACAAGTACCAATAACTCTTTGTCGTCCGGAGTGTCCCAATTTACGATGATAATGCTGCACATTTAGGTCCGTTAGATGGTGCTTGTTCGGTAGAATCGAAGGATGTTTGGCGTTTACGTCGATCGGTGCATTTCTTAGGCGACCACCTACTCGAAGAATCCCGTTTTCCAAAATAGGATTTAGTTTGTAAAGGGGACCAATCGATTTCAATTTGCGTTGGCTGGTTGACATACGGTACGCTTCAGAATTCAAGATCGCGAGTTCCTTTTCAAACGCATACCCCTGTACAAACTTCACAAGTTCCTCTTCAGCTTGCATCAGTTCTTCGACCGATAAATTTGACGTTTCCAAGGGTTTCAGTTCTTTATTTCGACCACTTCGAGCTCTATAGGTACGTACAATGCACTCCTTGTAGCGTGTTAACCATGCTATACTCTTCTTCAGTCGTTGCAGAGATGAACAGCAATGAATGATTTTGTTCAGGAATTCTTCTTGTTTTATGATTGAATGGCATTGAACTTCAGGTTTAATTTCTGGATCGTCATCCGCAATCTCCGGAACTGTTCTAAATGTCAAAGGCCAGTTCTCCTCAAGTTGCCATAAAAACATGGGACCCTTGAACCAAAGATCGGCTTTGATCGTTTCTTTTGCATTCAGACCTCGAGTCGCATGATCTGTGGGATTTGAATTCGTCTCAACGTACTTCCACTGATCAGGAGTCGAACCGTCATGGATAATAGCTAAACGATTCGCAACGAAGGTGTGAAATCTTCTGGTGGTGTTCCCGATGTATCGTAGAACTGCAGTTGAATCTGACCAGAAAACCGTTCTTTCAATTTCCAAATCTAACTCATCTTGAATCATCCGATTTAACTTCACCGCCAAGGCTGCTGCCGACAGTTCCAGTCGAGGAATGGAGACAGTTTTCAAGGGTGCTAGGCGTGACTTGGCGAACAAAAACGAACAGTGAATTTGACCCAAAGTGTTCTCAAGTCGAAGGTAGGACACAACTCTGTAAGCGTGCTGCAAAGCGTCCGAAAAGTGATGTAACTCAAGGTACTTCGCCTCACCCAAGATTGCTGGTTTGATGCATCTAGCAACAGATATCTTGGTTAATATTTCAATGTCCGAGTACCAATCCTCCCAACTTCGTAATTCATTCTCATCAAGCTCTTCGTCTCAACCGCGCCCTTCCTTGCAAAGATCTTGTAGAATTCTCTTTGCAGTTAAAACGAAAGGAGCCACAAAACCCAACGGGTCGTACACGGAGCTTACGATACCACGCCTTGTTGACGGAACTTTGATACTAAACTCGTTGGCCCGCATGTTCCATTGCACACCGAGTGCACGTTCGATCATTGGTTGGCTGGAGTCCAAGTTTACGACAGAGGGAGCCTTTTCATCATCGTTTCCATCACTGCTTCACTATTGGATATCCATTTAGTGAGATGAAACCCTCCGAGTGCGAGTAAATCGATCAGTTGACGAACGAGGCGCTGTGCTTTGGCGACTGTTTGTGTTGACTTTAGACAATCATCAACATAGTAGTTTCTTTCCACGGTTTTGATAGTTTCTACGTCAAAATTCTCACAGTTGTCGTCCGCTGTCTTCTTGAGGCAAAAACTAGTACAGCTTGGGGATCACACTGCTCCAAAAATGTGTACTTGCATTTGATGATCCTCGGCATCCTTGGTCAAGTCGTTGGGCCACCACAAGAAATGTAGTGCGTCTCGATGATCAGGATACACTCGAACTTGATGGAACATCTCTCTAATATCAGATACAATCGCAATAGGCTGTTCTCTGAATCGAATAAGCACACCAACCAAGTTGTTATTGAAATCGGGGCCCCGAAGGAGTTTATCGTTCAGGGAAGTTCCTTTAAATTTAGCGGCACAATCAAAAACGACCGCACTTTACCGGCCTTCTGCGGTTGGACCACGGCATGATGTGGGAGATACCATACTGATTCATCATTCTTGTGGAGCTCATTTTCAGGAACCTTTCTGGCATAACCCTTTTTCAGGTAACTGTCTATGACTTCCACATATTTTCTGCAAACCTCGTCATCTTTCTGCAATCGCTTCTTCAACATGTGAAGACGTGATTCGGCCATCTGGCGGTTATTTTGCAAGTTTGGAGAGTTGCTGCGCCACGGTAGAGCAACCTGGTAATGACTTTGGACTTTCGTTGCAGTCTCATTCATGATCTTCAGCGCCCGACAATCCTCGATAGACATCGATTTCCTGTTGTCCGCGAGTGAGTCACCAAAATCGGTTTTCCAGAACATCTCAAGCTGATGCTGCAGTTGACCATCGTCACGCTTAATCAGATTCACCATTCCACTTTCGCTATCTTTAAATTTTGCAGTGGGACCGAATAGTGCCCAACCCAATGGCGACTTGATAGCACACGGCTCGCCCCGTTCTCCACGTCTTTCCTCCATCACCCAGAAGGCTTCAGGTGTGTCTGCTCCTATCAACAACATGACGTCTTCAGTTTCTATTCTCGGGAACTCTAGGTCACTGAGGTGAGTCCATTTCTTCAAGTCTTCTTCAACTGGTATGGCTTTTGACGAAACAGGCAATGCTTCCACGGACCATACTCCTTCTAGCGAAATCGAATGTTCGTTGTTTAAATTCGAAACTTCTAGATTCACTTCCAAACCATTTCGATACTGTTTTTCTTCATTTAAGGTTGTTAACGTAAATTGCTTTTCAACTCCGTCCAGACCTAATTTATTGATCAACCGTCTATCGCATAAAGAAACTTCTGAGCCGCTATCAAGCAAGGCATAAGTTTCCACTTTCCGACCATCAGGATTACCAACTTTAACCGGAACAATTCTCAGGCACACGTCGCGACGTTTAGAGCAGGTCATACTGCATACACCAGCTGACGATCCAACATCAACTTGCACCATTTGATTCTTCTGGCTAGATGTTTCAGGACCAGGATTTGGTGGATGCAACAGGGTGTGGTGTTTTCTTCGACACTCCAGTAATTCGCACAACTTTTTCTCCAAGCAACTTCTTGCAAAGTGTCCAGATTTGAAACAATTGTTGCAGATTCTTTTGGATCTAATGATTTGAACTCTCTCTTCGTACGATTTCTTCTTGAATTCATCACATCTACTGAGTTCGTGATCGTGTGAGCACAATAAACACCGTGATGTAGCTGTCTTTCCGCTTTCTCTCGGAACTTCTTTATTTGCTGTGGCCAAGGTAGTTGCTCGTGCTGTCTCCTTTATTCTACCTTTAGGTAAATCTCTAGTAGCTTTCTTTCTAGCTTCTAACACATGTTTCCCAAACATATTTGCAGCAACATCGGCTTTATCTTGTATAAATTGGGCAAGGTCGGAAAATCGAGGTCGTCGTTCCGACTTTAAGATGGACTCCGCTTTCTCCGCCCACTTAAGTTGCATAAAACTGGGCAAACGATCCACAATTCGTAGTAGAGTTTCGCTGTTATTCAGTTCATCTGACCATCCCATCTTTGATAGTGTCAACTCACAATTTTGCATTTGACGAGCCAATTTTTGCAGGCTGGCACCATCCAATGACTTGATTTGCACCCCATCGACTATCTGCTTGATATGTGACTGTGCAACAACGTGACGTCTTCCAAATTGTTGTTGCAAAATTTCTCGAGCCTTCAAATATCCTCTTCCTGGATCGAGAATACTACAGTTTTCAATCGCTTCCCTAGCTTCTCCTTTGCCGCGCTGGATTAAGTATGCCAGATGTTTTCCAGGATTCATAGTTTCATTGGCGATGTTCGTCTGGAAATTGTTTATGAATCTCCAGTAATGCAAAGGGTTGCCATCGAACGTGAGTAACTCTGGCTTCGGCATGTTAAAACCTTCATTCAATATACCGACTACGCTTTTGAGAATTTCTTGGCCACCCACGTTGGCGCTGCTTCGAGATGGACAGAACGACGAGGGTTTACTAGAAAGACTGTCACTATTAACTTGAAACTCTGACTTATCGTTCTGACCTTTCACATCTTCCGATATGCCAATATCGTGCTTTCGTTCCAAATAAGTTCCTGGAATGAAAGGAAGGGGTTGTCCGCTCTTAGGTGATTCATCCTTTCGAGAAACCAATTTAGGCAGTTCTTGTTTCTCCTCTCGACTTATCACTTCTTCTGCTTGACCCCATATCCGTTCACTGAGGATAGCTTGTTCGTACTCATTTTGAAGCTTGAGGGTATCTTCCTCGCCTTTTACTCTAAGCTTCTTTAACTCCAACTCTTGTAACTTCTGAAGCTGTTGGAGCTTTAGACGAGCAAGTTCTCTTTTTTCCGTCACTTCGTTTAACCTCATTACCAAACTCGCGTGTTTTCGAAACTTGTGCGACTTCCAGAACCCATGTGGCTTCGTATACTCGCATGGCTTTGTGGACTCACGTGGCTTCGTGGACTCATGTCGATTTGTGGACTCGCGTGACTTTGTGTATTTGTGTGACTTCCAAGACCCATGTCGATTTGAGAACTTGCGTGGCTTTCTGGACCCGCGTGACTTTGTGAATCCACAAGTTTTGCATCAGGCTTTGGATTGTGTGAACTTATTTGACTGATAGAATCCTCTGCTCTTATCTCCGACTCAAGATTCAATTTAGTTCTTTGTATCCATTGATCAGTATTTTGAAAAATGCCATTGTGCTCTCGAACTCGTGATTCATAAATCCATTGCTCATCTTCTATAACTTTGTTATCTGTCAAATACGCAACATACAAATAATATACTTGTTTGAACCTTTCAAAGGCAACGTCTAGATCGATCCTCTTCTCTATAACTGGCTGTAACAGACTGTCTTTAGTACTGGTTAGGTTATTAATCTCTCTATATAACCTTGTCAACCGTGACAAATGTCCTGCACGCGAACGCTTCAAATCTTGAGCTCTTTCTCTTCGAGCATCGTCATTCCAATTGCTTATATTTCCCGCTCGGCGTCCCACGAAACTTTCTTCTCCTATATTCGCGGTTTGACCAACTTGAAATGCTTCTCCAACGGCTCCAAGATCAGCAAACTCACGGTCTTCATTCGTATGCACTTGACCGCTAAACATTGATTATTGACAACAATAACACCGACAGTATACGGCGCTAACAATTTGTCAATCAAATCGAATTCAGGTCAATTTTATAAACTATGTTACGGACATACCGCACAAGATATTTATAGTCTTCAAAATTTTAATGTTCAATGTAAAAAACACGCTTACAAATGGCGGTTTATAAAATTATTGACCATGCTCTCAACCATAATATCTCCGTCTCTGTTGAGTGATCACACTTTACTTTATATGAGCTATATTTACATAAATTTGAAAGTTTAAATTAAAACTATCACGACAATTAACCTAATCCCTAAGGCCAAATAAAAATAATAGTTGGTTTCCGACCGACCTGTCAAGAATATGACCGACCATAAACATTTTATTGATATTTAAACGTTTAGACTGAACATTGTTGACATTACATATTTAGTTGTTGCTGGTTTCCTTGCATGTCAAGTTTTATATGTACGCAGGTGAAAACTTGATGTAAAAACAATAAAAACTAAGAGTTTATAATGAGTTTTAACTTACATTTATTGCATACTTGAGATAAAATACTTTTTTAAAATAAAATGTTTTTCTGGCCTACCTACCCATATAAAACATGGCTGTGAAACCTGAAACCAACTATTATTTTTATTTGGCCTAATGCGTATTGTTTACTATGCATGCATGAACTATATAAATCCATAAGGTCATTATTGTCCTTATCAATGTTATTACAGCAACTTTTGCATATATATTTCAAGTATAAAACTGGCCCCATAATCAGATATATGGCCTCAAATGTACTAACACTCCTATAGGTTATATTTTTATCTCAGGTTTTAAGGGACTTGGCCCCCAGAGGGTTAAGTTGTCCATTGCTTGATGAAATGGTCTCAGATTTTCTTCCAGTTTCTTATCAAGGATCATAGTAAGTGCTTCTGCAGTTAGTGCAGTAGTTTGGCTCATTGTTAACAACAAAAAAATGTACAAACACACATATAAATACAAAAAAATGTGTAATATTTGTACAAAAGTGACAAGTTCAAAAATTTGCCGCCATCTTGACTCGCACCCAGGTCTATTTCAAAAATATTTTTACCATCTATTTGAAAAATATCAGAAAAAATTGTATTTGCAAGTCTGTACAAGTTTTTATTAGAAATACATTTCCTTAGCGATTTTCAGTCTGGATTCAGACCTGGTGATAGTACTGTTAACTCTTTAAAAGCAGGCCCCTATAAACGTAGTATGTGCACATACTATCACACTTTGCCGATTCATATCTCCGGTTTGGTGCACGCTATGTAGATGAAAATACCACCATTCGATTCAGTGAAACAATATCTCCTAATACCTATCGATAGTTTTAGTCAAATATAGTTTTAGCGAAATTGTATAACTATTTATGACCTTTTGACAGGTCAAGCAGTGTCATATTTCATTATATTAATCAATTGTCTCGAACAATGTAAACTATCCATACCTTTCGCCGAACATAACTTCGGCCCCTTTTGACATATCGTTTTCGCTATAGTCTTATTCGAAACAGAATCCAAAACACTATTGAAAGTGTTATTTTCAAGCTTGCCCAGCTAAGCACAAGAACGTCCTATGAACGTTGTCATAATATTCGGTTTTCATTGCGATAACGTTGCCAATTTATGTGCGCCCGACGTTATTTTGTTGACTCCAGGGGACGTTGTCACAACATTGTCGAGACACGTAAGAAAAAAAGTTCACATAACGTTTATGAAACGTAAATATATTGAAGAGAAACGTTCACACAACGTTTATGAAATGTAAATATATTGAAGTGATATGTTCACACAACGTTTATAGAACGAAATATTTATTTCAAAATCTTTTATATATGTTTACTATAAAATTACAAAACCAGGAATAAAAAATTACTTAAATATCTTTATTGTACATAAATGTTTCTGCTAATGTTGTCCATCTCGTGAATGTTTCACAGTTCCAGCTTTTCAATGAAAGTGTTAGCCATCGCTGTAATAAGTAAATTATCTGTTTGTTCAGAAACATAGTTTAACATTATATTGTACGTATAGTATTTGATGATCATCCATATTCTTGCCTTCGCATTCTATAGTTGTATATCTTGAACAAGAGAAAATATAACACATTCGCCAGAAAGTATTCTCATTTTAATAGACGATGGAGTGACATATCCATTATCCACCATACACCATACAGCTTTTATGTTTACTGTAAAATTACAATACCAGGAATAAAAAAATTACTTAAATATCTTTTATTGTTCATAAAAGTTTCTGCTAATGTTGTCAATCTTGTGAATGTTTCACAGTTCCAACTTTTCAATGAAAGCATTAGCCATCGCCGTAATAAGTAAATTAATATCCCTGTTTGTTCAGCCATATAGTTTACCATTATATTTTACGTATAGTATTTGATGATCATCCAGATTCTTGCCTTCGCATTCTAAAGTTGTATATCTTGAACAAGAGAAAATATAACACATTTGCCAGAAAGTATTCTCACTCAGTTAATAGACAATGGAGTGACATAACCATGACCCACACATTATAGCTTTAATCTTTATTATATAAATTTCACTGGAAACCCAACGGTTTTAATAGCTTTTCATCATCAGAATGTGACATTTGTATATGGTACTGATAGGCAGAGGAACACTCTTATCGGCCAGGGTTTTATTTAAAACACTGATGAGACATATACATACTGGTTTCGGCCTAAAAATATAAACGAGATTCTAAGTTAAACATGATATCAAATATATATCACTGATCAATGTCCTGTAATTCATCACAGGACACAGACACATTCAAAAATTCAATATGACAACTATGGTATAATAACAAAATAATATTCTACTCACATTCAAATGATTACAAGACCAATGAATGATCTGCCAAGGATTAAGTTTGAATTCTGCGGCCAACGGCAAAATATGATATTCGATACTGATGATGCACATGTTAATAACCTATTTTTGCCAAAACAATGTTCCACCTCAACATTCCATGGACGTTATCAGAAGGTGTTAAAGTGATGTCCAGTGAAATGTCCCTACAACGTTCTGCACACATGAAATTTTTACAAATCAAATGTAGCATTTAGGAAAATGTGCTGTTAAGGTTGTAGAGAGGTTAGGTCGGACCAACCCAAATTACAACCTTTTGGCAATGTTGTGATTACGTACTGTGCTAGCTGGGTGTAGCCTTAGTTTTTCGTCTTTTATTTCGGTATTTCAATCTATTGCGAATGTAATGAAATCAGCGGGATATTTGTAACCGGAAATACACTTTAGATCGCCCCTTTAATCGATTCTAAAGGTCAAATTACATCTGCAGCGTGATTTTCACGTGTATTGGGCTACGGGAGACTCCTTATTGGCCAATTTTACATGCAGCACGCACGTGCAAGTAAAAACCCGATGAAACCCGATATACAAAAAAAATTCCAAATAAACATTTCTACTCGCCGTATTCAAATGAAACTTTCTACATAAAAGCACTTGAATACAAGGAATATTTCACTAATATTAACTTGTGGCAAATTCTGAAAATTTTAGAAAATATTCAACTTTTTCTCCATATGAAAATACAGAATGTTTGGCCAAGCGGCAAGTAAATATATGATTGTTTCAGTTTGTGTATTTGTTTTGATGGCATTAGACCCCCGATGAAAAGCTTATTTTGCTAGGATTTCAATGGTGTTCTTTGTTTTTAAGGGGGGTGAATACGCGCTGAAATATTTACGTTATAAAACAGTTGAATCAAAATGTTGCTTTCCGTGAAAAATGTCGCATGTCGAGAAAGAGTTAACCAACTGACATATACTATGCATATAATTTATCAAGCCTTGGATACGGGGAAAGAAGTATGTATGGATGATTTCACTAAAGCATTTGATAAGGTATGGCATAAGGGTTTACTTTACAAATTGCAAACTTTTGGGCTGAAAGACCCTCTTCTAAGTTGGTTTCGTAGTTATTTAACAGACCGAAAACAAAGAGTTGTTACCGATGGGCAGACCTCGAGTTGGTTAAACACTGAAGCTGGTATCCCAAAGGGATCTGTGCTCGGGCCATTGCTTTTTCTTATATATACTAACGATATTGGTGTAGACATTGTATCTAACTGTTTTCTTTGCGCTGATGACACATCTTTATTTGACATAACTGACGACCCAACAAGTTCTGCTTCAAAATTAAGCTTGGATCTTGATAAAATTAGTCAGTGGTGTAAACAGTGGCTAATGGAGCAGAATCCTTCCAAATGTGAAAGTATTACATTTTCAAAAAAACTTTCTGGACAAGCACATCCCACCATACATTTAGATGGCAATACTTTATGAGAAGTTAATTCTCATATTCATCTAGGATTGAAACTTACTTCAAATTTTACATGGAATTATCATATCCAAAGTATACATAAAAAAGCTAGCAAGATGATGAATCTCTTAAAAAGTGTAAAATATAAGCTCCATAGATCAACCTTTATCTCAAAATATAAAAGTCTTGTTAGACCTCTGATGGAATATGCTGATGTCATCTGGGACGGATGTACTGAAAGCAAAGCAAATCTTTTATAGGGAATACAGAACGAATCGGCTCATATAGTTACTGGAGCAATGAAAGGAACAAACAGGGTACGATTATTAAACGAATTATGCTGGGAAGATCTGATATCTAGAAGATTTCTACATAATTGCACCTTGGGATGAACTTGATAATAACTTGTGTAATATGCATCATTATCATTATTCAAAAGTAAACTACGTAATACATTTTATGGAATGAAATATAATACTCTCTACAACACCTTGTTAAATTGATACAGTTCAATACTACATAGTAGACTTTGTCTAGGTCATTGTGCATTGAATTCTTATCTATATAGTATTAACTGTGCAATTTCTCCATATTGTAAATGTAGATGGGGAATAGTGGAATCAATTAAACATTTCATTTTGCACTGTCCTTGATAAGCTGCTCACCGACAATGCTTGCATTCTTT